CTGAAATTTCATCCACCGTTTTCTACATCAGACCATTCTTCCATCTCATTTCAGCTAAGCAAACATCATTTAAGTGGTGCATCGCCAAAATATTTGCCTGACTTTCTCCATGCAGATTACAATGAAATAAACGCTGATTTGCTGAGAGTAAACTGGCGTAATGCTATACTGAACACAACCTCAGCAGACCAGTGTTATCAATCATTTGTTACTCATTGCCAAGCATTGATAAATAAGTTTGTACCCAAAATTAAGATTGACCAAAAACACACATTTGCATATCCTAACAAGATCCGAATGTTAGAAGCCAAAGTTTCCAGATTGTATCAAACCAGACATAGAACCGGAATTAAAAAGTATCAAAGATTTTCTAGAAAGCTCAAACGCGAGTTGGCCCAATGCAGGCTTTCTGAGGAAGATGCCATTGCACGTAGCCGTAACATCAAGAATTTCTTTCGCTTTTGTAATCAAAACCTAAAGGTGACAAACAATATTGGAACTATCTATGATTCATTAGGTAACATATGTAAATCAGATAAAGAAAAAGCTGAAGCATTCGCCGTATTTTTTAAGAACGTTTACAAAAAACCTACAAATGTTAAAACCCAATGTCCACAGTTTACAAATGAGAAAATTGATTTTTTGGATATCACTGGTGACATTGTTTACCAAATTTTGAAAAAATTACCTCTTAGAAGATCTACGTCACCTGATGGACTTCCCTACATATTTCTGAGAAAAGCAGCGCTTGGCATTTCTTCTGCCCTCAGCCTTCTTTTCCAAAGATTCTTACTCCACGGGGAAACCCCAGCACTTTGGCGTACAGCGATCGTGAAACCGATCTTCAAAAAAGGCAACAGATCGCAACCCAAGAACTATAGGCCCATCTGCCTAACTTCTTCAGTTAGCAAAGTGTTTGAGAGAATAATTTGCAAACAAATTTGCAAATATCTCGGAAATAACCAACTCATAAATGCAGCACAACATGGATTTTTACCTAAAAGATCGACACTTACAGCTCTCATGTCCACTATATCAATATGGCATAAGATAATGAATGAAAAAGGATTCATTACCGTGTGCTATCTAGATTACAAGAAAGCTTTTGATTCAGTAAATTTAGAACTACTTTTCAACAAACTCAATGCATATGGAGTGAAAGGTTGTCTTCTGAAATTTCTCCAATCTTTTCTATCAAATCGTACTCAACAAGTCATAGTCAATGAATCCTTGTCTTCTACGTATCAAACAAGCAGCGGAGTTCCTCAGGGGACCTGCTTAGGGCCTCTCATGTTTTTGCTGTACATAAATGATCTACCATTAGCTCTTCCTGATGGTGTCACCTGTTCTATTTATGCAGATGATACCAAACTATACTGCTGCAATTCCCCTCGGCTGATGCAAAAAGCTTTAGATGCGGTGGTAGAATGGTCTGAGATGTGGGACCTTGACATTTCAGTCGAGAAAACACATATCATGCTTATTGGAGCTAAACATCCACGACCGTGCACTTATTACATAGGAGGTCAAAAGATTCGAGTGACAAACTCCATAAAAGACCTTGGCATTACCTATTCTGACAACCTCAATTTTGACGACTATATAAATGAAATTACAAGAAATGCCCATGCTCGATGTAACTACATATTACGTGCCTTTAGAACGACGAAAATCCAAACTCTCTTCAAGCTTTTTGTCATTTACGTCCGTCCTATGCTAGAATACTGTACACCTTTGTGGTCTCCAACTAAGAGAAATGCAATTGACGCCTTAGAAAGAGTGCAGAAGTCATTCACTGCACGAATATTTGCAAGAGCTGGGCATTTCCATGTGTCATACAAATCAAGACTTTCTATACTTACCACTACCTCTTTGAGACTCAGAAGAACAATTTATGATCAAAATCTCGTCTACAAGATTATGACTAATAGAATCTATCTCACGATGCACGATTTTTTCGTATTATCCAACTTTAATGCTATAACTAGAGGACATGACTTCAAGTTTATCATAGGAAAGGTGCAAACACAGCAATTTCATGACTCTTTTCCGATACGCATAATCAACACATGGAACAAGCTTCCAGTAACGGCGATTAAAGCTTCATCGACATTTGTGTTTAACAGAGAAGTTCAAAAAACCTTGAAATCTAAAGGATTCTTCTAACAACATTTTTTTACAGAACGGTGTAAAAAACGCTTTATTGGATCACTATTACTGATCTTCGACCAGCTATTTCAAAACGCCAAAATTACCATTCAGCACCTCTGTACCTTTTTTATCTTCTATGTATTCTTCTCCTCTGTGTATTTTTATTGATAGTTTATGTCTTTTTTTTGCACAAAAAATTTTGTTTATGGCGAATCATTTTCCTTATTGTCCTGATCCTGCCGCTTATATTTTTGAGGGCTAAGTCAGCTAGCTTTTGCCCGCAAGCTCGCTGGCATTTAAACAATGGGATGCACATTACTTTTCAAAAGGCAGCAAGATTTTTTATGTCGATTGTTTGAGTCCAAACTGTACTTATGTTGTGTGATCTTTTTTGGAATCGACTGTTTACGTAAATAAATAAATAAATAAATAAAAATCATAAACATATTGCAATCGCGGAACTTCTACTCTATATAGCAAGATCAGAGCTATAACAACTGCTACCAGAAAAACGAAAAGATTTTCTGGTTTGTCAAGGGCGAACAAAATCAAAAATGTCAAAAAAATCCATTTTTTGCCGCCTCAGAAAGAGCAAGATAAGTGGGTCCTTTCGGATTTTTTAGCACAAAATTTCTATGAAAGAGGTTGATGAAATCCAAAGTTAGCGGTACTGCTCAGTCGACTATGGGCTACACTGCGAGCAGAGCTTGTGCTACTCAGCTATATTCAAATCAAGTTATGCTTTTGCAAAGTCAAGATTTCTAAAAGGAGATGTTCCTCGATTTTCGCCTACAAGATCTTCTCCACTGTTACTGCAATAATCTTGAAGGTGCGCAGAATAGCCAAAGATTTGCAGATTGTGATACAGTTTATAGCAATTGCAAAGATTATTTCTGAGAAGAGTTACGGTGAATCAAAATCAAACTTCGAAAACGGGTAGAACTTTGAAACAACCCAATAGATTTAATTAGCATAACATCAGAATTGAGATGAGCTAGATGACTGCTTTTTGTCCGTGAACTTGAGTTAACAACGAGTTGTTTATTTCGATTTTTCGCTATTCAAAATGCTAAAAAAATAGGGGGATATGCTGGAGAAAGTGCCTTCAAAAATTACGATGATCGCAAACAAAATTATTGCGAAATAATTCATTTAGCTAGCTGCTGTTCTTCATCGCAAATTGAAGTTTTTGGAGGGAACAAACTGGCAACAGCACAATTTTAGCTACTCATACGGTAGGCACATTAAAGATTTTTCAAAAGGACTGTTGAAAGTGATAAAGTTCAAGTGTGTGCTACACACATTCGGTGCATGTTGAGATAGAATTTTATTTCACCTCTGCATCCAGTAAAACCTCATTCAGGGCACGTGTAAATGATATGCATTTGGTGAAAATGGAAGATTTCCCTGTATCAAAGTTTTTTGTATAAGCCAAAAAAATTGGGGAGTTATCCTTCTAAATCATAATGATAATATTTTGTGACAACGTGTAGGGAAAGCAAGAAACGCAGATGTCGAACTTTGCAGTCACTATTACAAAATTCCTATCCTGCGATAAAGGAATTCAAAAATCTCTCCGTGGAAGTAAGAAACAAAAAAAGAGATTTTCATCGATTTAAATATTGACTTTCGCAGAAAAAGATTCGTTCTTTTGAGCAATGTAACTATTTACCGCAACCAAACGCATAATGTGGACGACAAGAAATTCAAAAGTGCGAATTTAGGAAAGCGAGAATGTGTGACAACATTTTGACATTATGAAGCAGAAAACTGTGAGTTTGTTTGTTCGCATTCGGGTGCAGGTTGTGCAGGTTGTGCATGTTGTGCAGGGTGTGCAGGCTGTGCATGTTGTGCAGGGTGTGCAGGTTGTACAGGGTGTGCAGGGTGTGCAGGTTGGACAGGGTGTGCAGGATGTGCAGGGTGGGGAAAGGGTAAGTGAACATGCTGATTTGAATACATTATTGACAGGACCGGGCGGAGTCGGGTTTGCCAGCTCGTTACCATATAAAACGAAAGACTAATTTGTTAGTTTATCTGTCATTGCAGACGGTTGTGGTCAGCTCAGACACTGGGAGCGGCCGAGCCGCGGACCTTTTCCGGCTGGAATTTTGCAGCGTCCGCGGACCGGCCGGAGATGGGCCTCGACTCGTCCGCTTTTGGGCAGCGGCTCAGCCGATTGTGGGCCTCGGCTCAGCCGGAGCTGGTTGTCGAGTCGTTTGAGTTCATTCTAGCTCGGATACGGTAGAACTGTTTTTTTTTCAACTACTGGCACGTAAAACATACACAGTAAAAAACAAAAATTGAGGCCACCGATATAGCGGCTTCGAAAACCAAGTCCGACTTCAACATTGAACAACGCAAGGTGCTATCCAAGGTTGTACAACATATTGATCTTGTTCCCACCTTGGAGATTGGAAAGACATTGAAGGCTATGGACACTGAGGGCAGCCTGACCATGCGTCGTACATCACGCAAGTATTCTTTATGCTCAGATACTGGGAGCGGCCGAGCCGCGGATCTTATCTGAATGGGCCGCGGCTCGGCCGGAGTTTCATTACAGAGATTTTGGTCCGCGGCTCAGCCGCTGCAATGCTCCAGCCCCATCATTAAGGCCGCGGCTGAGCCGGTAAGGCATATTCAGTCCGCGGCTAGGCCGGTGCAATGATATTGACATGAATTAAGGTCCGCGGCTCGGCCGCACTTCGGCCACGCCCACAAATTAAGGCCGCGGACGGGCCGGAAAGACCTTTTGAGGCCGCGGCTCGCCCGGTCCTAGTGTCTGAGAGACTTTGAATTAACTCTTGGATTATTGCAAGCATGTATGTAGAATATGCTAATAGAATATTGCTTTAATACGCTTACAACTTAGATTTCACTAAAAACTTTGTTTTTCATTAATCTGTTATAGCACGTATGTGTAGCTCTGTGATGTGATGCAAAGCCGTCTTCTTGCATACGAACGATCTCTCTTTTTCGGCGCATATGTAGTCGTCCCATTTTTGATAGAAAGGAGGATAATGTGAGTCGAGACGATTATCACTGTACAGCTGAAACGAAACCCCATAATACAGAATCCTCCAGAAATGATCGAAATTGATTTAAAAGAAAGGAGATTGAACTAGAGCCCGACAAGACGTTTACACAGTGGACCGTACTCCTGGAAACGTGCTCAGTAAAAAAGTCATATTTTTCCTCCGGAGCCATCTGCTCAGCATTCACTTTGAAATCAAGTTTTCAAAGCGTTCGGCACCTAATAAAAACGGGGATTTCGAAACCAAATTTCAGTTGTGTTATGAAGTTCAGATGCAGAACAAAGTGCAAAATTTATTCATGAAACCTATGAGTGGAGGCTTTACAAGTATTCCTACAACTTCGTTCGTTTATTATCACTAGCCCTTTACCCGCATACAAAACGTATCTAGTGCGTTTACAATCAGCATTCTTCCATCTTTGAGTAGTAAAAGTAAAGCTTGCCACACCTTTCCACCAGATAATTTTTTCAAAATTTTTTTCAGATTATTGCTAGCCTTTATAGTCTACCCACTTGCAATTCATACATTGTTTGATACACAGTTTGATAACTTGGATTTTTGATTTGCCCATTGAGCAAAATTGCTTTTGATACAAGTTGGCCGGTTGTGCCTGTTCTTCATGTTCTGGGAATATTAAGAGGTGTGCATGTGCATTGCACTGCGTTGTATCTGGTATCTCTTTTCATTGGGTCATTTGGAAAGTTTTTTTGTTTTCGTACCATTAAATTCAACCTAATGAGAAGAGATACCAGATACAACGCAGTGCAATGCACATGCGTTGTATCTGGTATCTCTTTTCATTAGGTTGAATTACCAGATACAACGCAGTGCAATGCACAGTGCATGTGCATTGCACTGCGTTGTATCTGGTATCTTTTCATTAGGTCATTTGGAAAGTTTTTTTGTTTTCGTACCATTAAATTCAAACGAGCGCATTTTTTTCCAGACCCAACCTTTTTCCACCAAATAAATTTCACTGCGTTCAGAAAATTCCTGGCAGCACTCTTGTAGTGCTCTTGCGCTTTCCTCTTGCGACATAATCCAGTAGGGATCAATAAAGCCTAAAAAGGCGTTTCTGACTAGCTAATTTTTATTGTGCCCTATTATTTTTTGATAGGCGCCAAGGAAATCGAAAAATCGGTGTTTGGTAAAAGAAGGCCTAAAGGGTTTGATAAATAAACAGGAACCTCGACGCACAATTAATCTTGTGAGAGGCACCTTTCTTACAAGTGGTTTGGAGGCATCATGGGCCAGGATGGCACCTCTCAGAGGTCGTACGTGCAAATCTGTTCACTTTCGAATTTTGACAAATGGTCTTTAGAGCAATATCATGCTGCTCTGCTTTGTACAACTGCATCTTAGCAAGTTTATAGCATGCAAGACAGTAGGATTACATTGATTTGAGTCCATCGCCCTTTGGAACGACTGATTGTTCATGGTCCTGTTTTCGATCTTGTTATAGTTAACTCAATGTTGCTTCTTATGGCCGTACTTAGTCCATTTTTTGTTATAAGTATTTAGCCAGGCTAAAAAAGGATTGCTCCTTCAAATTATGAGCAACGAAAACAGAATCATCGCTCCCTCAATCTGCAAACGCGACAATTTGTGGTGTATATATCGCTGAGATTGTTCGCCATTGCAGCTTTAGCGAAGGTGGCTTCTAATGGGGCTATATGACACTTCAAGGCCTGCTAATAATATTATGAGCTTATTTCTGCGATTTGCTTTAACGGATTTGAGATGCTCGCTTACATGCCAGGAACACCTTCCAAAAGATCGCAAAATATTAGCTTTTACTTTTCTAGCTCTGAATTTTTTGAAGCACACTCGCACTAACTTCAAGAAAGACTTAGCCTTGGCAAATGTATTGTTCACAATGATGGTTCCCTCAACTGTCTTACATTCAAGAATGAGCTTAGAGCAGTAATTCGAAAATCGCGTTTCATATTCGTAATTAAAGCCGCATAAAATTCCCCACAATGCGTTTTCTACAAGCTCGGTAGAATCCTCAAAAACTAGAAGACTTCCTGTACGGGTTTATCTATAAACACCTTATCAGCCCCTCGACACTTTCTCAAAATATGGCACCAACATCAAAGGCGCAAAAAGCGAAAAAACTTTCTGAATACCTAATATATTTGAAAAAAATATCCACCTTGACATCGTCGGGAGTAGGCAGCCATGCGATTTATATGCAAGCGGGCATCGAAAAGATAGCGCTGATTTCATAGAGTCTGCTTGTGAATCTTTGAAAGAGTGTTGGCCATTTGAGACGAATGCTCAGAGAACAATCGGCTTTTTATATATTAACTGCAGCGCTGGCGCATTTTCGCGGACTTTCCGCTGGAATATGCAAAATCGTTGGGGACGCGCAGTCTTTTGTGAAAGACTATGCAGCCCGTAGGTATATTCCGATGCTGCCATATAGAGTGTTACCTCTGCTGGGCGTACGCCCGAAATTGCGTTACAAGAGTACAGCGCTCGCTGAAGGTTCGGCTCCCGCTTGCTAGAGAAGACTTATTTGACGAGCGCTCGCAGAAAATTCTTGCTATCCGCTGGCAGAAAATACGACGTAAAAGAAACGACGCTCGCTGAAGATTTGACCAAGCACCATTTTGCTGACCGCTTTCAAGAAAGCGCGAGTTCGCGGTCCGCCTGCCCCGGCGATCATCTGAGTGATTATTGAAAAGCTGGAATATTGCAAACAAACGACGGCAATGTAAGCCTCATTATATTAGCGAAGAAAGGAAAACTCATTGAATTCTGTGGAAGAGGTTGGTACATTTCGAAAAAATGTCACCAATACTGGTTCATTTTTCCTATTTCAACCAATCCCTGCAAATTGTAAATGATATGGAGTCGAAGCCTACTGACATGCTACAAAGTCACCAAACACAGTTTTTGAGGAAGGGAAACCTGGCTAAAATTCTGTTTAAACCTGTGTAGGATTTTCTTATGCCGAAACCAGGAATTGGTGGAACTATATTGACTCAACCTTTCGAATAATTCGTCATCGTCAGGAGTCTGAAAAAGATCGTAGCTATTCGTACTTTCACTACACTGCCAAACGTCTCGTCAAACGCTGCCCGTTTAGACCTTCCCTGCTGCAATGTACTGAAAAGCAAAACGAGAGTGCCAACCTCAGTCTACCATAAGACCAGTAGCCCGCACAAGTGTGACGGACGCAACTGGGTTTATACTCAGTGTGTTAAGTTATATATATTATGTGCGGTTGTGAGCTTGCATAATGATAGCAGGGGCAAGAGACACTCTTAATGGTAGTACATTCATTTTTACTATTCATAGCAGGATTCTTGGAAGATATCCATGCTGCTTCAAGTGTTTTTCGCGCGCAAATCTTATTCTCAAGAGCCAGTATAGTACATTTTACGTCGAATAAAAATTGCCCTCAGTAATGCTTACAGCACAGCCACACGATCACGATTAAGAGAATCCAATAAAGGTCAAAGTGGCAATGGGCAGCGTAATGATACCAAACTTCCGCTATGCATACCCTTCATTTGCGATAAAGTCAGCAGAGCAATTAAACAGTGCATCCTTCGAGCCCAACTGCAAAACGATGTCAGTTTAGTTGATATACCCAGTGACAAGATCAAAAAGGGGTTGATTAGAAACAGATGCTACAATGTGCAATGTATATCAAAGGACTGCATTGTTTGCCCTTACGGAAAAGCAGGGGATTGTGCCAAATGGGAGTTATATACCAATTAGAATGTTCAAATTGCGGAGCATTATACATAGGCGAAACGGGTAGACCTTTGAGCACTAGGATTGAAGAACATCTGGCTAGCATGAAGCGAGGAACTCCAGCATCACCTTTAGGTAAACATAGATTTGAAGCACACGATGACACCTTATTCGACGTAAAATGTACTACACTGGCTCTTGAGAATGAGATTTGCGCGCGAAAAACAGTTGAAGCAGCATGGATATCTTCCAAGAATCCTGCTATGAATAGTAAAAATGAATGTACTACCACTACGAGTGTTTCTTGCCCCTGCTATCATTAGGCAAGCTCACAACCGCACATAATATATATAAATTGACACGCTGAGTATAAACTCAGCGTTCGTCACACTTGTGCGGGCTACTGGTCTTATGGTGGACTGAGGTTGGCACGCTCGTTTTGCTTCTCAGTACATTGCAGCAAGGTAGGTCTAAACGGGCAGCGTTTCACGAGACATTTGGCGGTGTAGTGAAAGTATGAATAGCTGCGATCCTTTTCAAAATCCTGACGAAGACGAATTGTTCGAAACGTTGAGTCAATAAAGTTCCACCAATTAACCTGGTTTCGGCATACGAAAATCCTACACAACAATCAATACGAGAATGCTCAGGTTCAAAGAAGAGAACACATGGAAATTTCTGTTTAAACCATTATCTTGGACTTCTTGCATTTTGTCTGCCGTTTGATTTCTCACACCCATTTTCCATGTAGCTAGGTTATCCGGATTGTTTGATTCGTTTTGGCAAGACATAATAGAACTAATCATTGCGCTTCAAGTTTTCAAGGCACAGCGTTTACCCTTGTTCCGCTTCTGTATGCCACTTCTCCGCCCCACTGCATTTTTCCAATCAACATGCTTATGCAAAAAAATGATAAAAAAACGAAAATATTGCAAATACAAATAAGTTCTTTCAGCGAGCAATGGCCAAATTTTCAGCAAGCGCTCGGACTCTTTTTACGCCAAGCAAAGGTAATACTCTGTATGACGGAAGTGCCATCGACGATTTGGTTACCGGAGTTTGGGGTACTTTCCCTCAGGGGAAGGTACCTATGGGCTGTGCGCCTTCTCAAAGGACCGTGCGGCCCGCATAATTTTGCATATTCTCGCGGAAACCCACCGAGAATATGCAAAATTAATGCCGACCGCAACTGACCTATGAAAACGCCGCGGTTGTTCTCCGAGCATTCGTCCAAAAATTTGCCAACATTTTTCCAAATATCTGCAAACGGACCGCAAGAAATCAGCGAACAATTTTCCAGTGCCCACTTGCCTCCAGCGTGGCCGCATACCCCAGCGGGTCTCTGAGTAGAAGTGGGCACAGATGAAGCTTTTATAAACGGATAGGGATGGCCTTTGTTATAGTGTTTTAACAGATCCGGGCGGAGCAGGGTATGCCAGTTGATATACTGTTTCAGTAAGGTTGCATTTCATTGCCTTTCTTTCTTTCAACTTTTCTATGCTTAGGGTTTCTTGCTCAGAATGATGAAACAAAAAGCAGACAACCGCGCCGGAAAAGAAACAAACAGAAACAAACAAGAAGAGGTCAAATTGCATATACTTATAAAAAATCAGAAAATAAAAAATTAGATTAACTCCGACACGCATATGTTTTTAGAGTTGCGCACCGAAATAGTCTGAATGCTGAACGGTATCTTGAGGCATATATATTGCAGTCTGAAAGTTTTGAAAATCTTGCAGCACCAAAAGAATTTATCTGTTGTGGTGGTCAGAAATGGCGAGTTTAAGTGAGAAGATTGCAAACTTTAGTTCATACTCCATATCTTCTAACCATCGAAATTCTGCTTGCGTAGGTAATTCGACTTTTTGCTTTTGGCCAATTGAAAAAGCATTACATGCGCCAGCTTTTCCGTATTTATATAAAAATCTTACCAACACGCAGCGTTGGTCTTCATGAGCCTGAGGGTCTCTCGCAATCCAGTCTAGATAGTCAACTTTTGTGCCGTCAGTCCAAGCCCAGACCTTGCTTCCTGTACCTTTAGCCCATAGACCGATCCAGGTTAGGTCATGTGCATCTTTCCATGGCCTACCCGTTCTTGCCAACTCTAAATCATCGACCGAATAGTGTTGGCAATTAAGTGACTATCAACCGCACTGACTGTCGTCAGCGCGGGGGACAAAAAGCGTAAAATGGTTGTCTTGATACGAATCACTATTGTACAAATCGTCTCACTTTGTTTTAGCCGTTCGTCGCGGCATACGGTCAACTCTTGCAGTCTCTAAATCGATGGTTACTGCCGGAGGTGGTGCAAAAGCAAAGTTGGTTGGGAGGTGCGAACGCTATCTTAGCGCGTAACTGCCTTGTTCCAAGCCTTGCATTTCATGCGCTCCACGGCTAATAAACCACCTCGAGCTCAGGTATTTGAGCCAGACTTCGCAGCGTACGCACATGTGCACTGTGATATGGGGCTACGTTGCGTCCCAACAGATTTTGCGCCGTCGTCCGGCGGTAAGCTCATATATAAATGGAATAAAACAAAAATTTACCTGCTACAAAAATATTTTCGGCAAGGCTGTGTATCGAAGTCAAATGTCCTCCAAGAGCGTTACAGATGTATTCGGCATCGTAAGCATTTGCATCAAGGAAAGTCTGTGAAGTCAAAAATTAGGTTAGTTCTTGTGCACTTTTGGAATCAATTTCATGGCATTCTTGTTGAATTACAGGGATAACTATTTTTATGAGCTTGTTTAAGGCTCCGTCCAAAGTGAGTAACTGTGGCGGCACTGAGTTAGCGCCAAGCTAGCGCCATGCTGTCTCGGCGTGCCTCGATCAACACGGTTTGCTTCGCTGGGACGAGGCATATAAATTGGGCGAGACTGCGCGGCGTACACGGCGTACGCATTTACGTTGTTCACGCCCCATATCTTAACCCATTGACGACGATGTGGACCACCGACGCCCCACGCACTTTTCGCCGCCAAGGACGATGTGGACCACTAGTTGCCCACACCCCTTGCAAAATCACATCCTTTCCAAGTCAGGTATTTTTCCATAGTTCAGCATTTTTTCCAATTTTTTTGCACTTCTGGAACCAGTGGACTACATCGTACAAGAAGATGGGCTGTGGTTGTTCACAAAACACCTTTACATCTCATAAATAATTACAAAACTTCCCGCGTCGGAAGTATTGTGCAAAATCGCGTCGTCCCACAAAGCCGCCACGCAAAATTAGGCGTCTTCGTCAATGGGATAATGGGTTAATGGCAGTTGCTCGGCAGAATGAGACCCGTGGCAAAACAAGGTCACAGAGTAGGAGCTCAATAATTATGGGTCAATGTTCGATGTTTCTTTGCCAATTCTAACTCCGAAAAATCAACCCGAAAGCAGCGCTTTCATCTCTCCTCTCTCCGACACCGCCCACCTCGCGATTTCCCTTCCACCGTCAGAGCGCCTCTGCCGCAATGCTATAAGCGTAAGGGTCCCGCAACGACTCTGCGTCTTCGCCATGGCGGGGGCTTTGGGTCCACTCGTCCATATCTAAAATTAAGAGGGCAGGGTCGGAGAGTAGGGGAGATGAGGCTTTCGCGTTGAAATTTCGGAGGTTAGAAGTAACAGAGAAAGATCGTAATTTGAATAGGTTCCACTATGGAGGTTCCTATCCTGTGACCTTGTTTTGTCAGGGGTCTCATTCTGCCGAGCCATTGCCTTTAACAAGTGAGCGTACGCTGCTTACCTCGCGTACGACACGCTGTCTGGTCCAACTCTATAGCAGGCCTCGCTAACAGCCAAGTATTGATAAAAATCGTCATCGAAAATTGCGATAGCGCGCTGTGCCGGCACAGCTCCGGCACTCTGGACGGAGCCTAAAAAGCCTGAGCTATTCAACAGCGGTATTGATCCTACTCCATGCCAAACTCTTGCCGTTCAAAAAGAAATGTTGAACAGGGTAAAACATGCAACCAAACTTTGTATTTCTTTTCAAGAGTTTGCCTCTTCTAACACCGAAACTGGACCTAGTTGAGCACAAAGCACAAAAGAGTGAGAAGCCGATAAAATCAGGTTCAACCCTCATTGCTTTTCGTTTAAGACCAATGTCGGTTCTGTTTAGCTAATGCTGTACATCAGAAAAGTGCAGGAGGCTGTAGCAAAGCAAGGTTTCCTCTTCTAAGAGGAAACTTGCTTACTTTTCGTTGCAGCGATTTGAAAAGAGACAAAATGTGTAAGTGAAGAATGTGCAATTACTAGAAAACAATTTACTTGGAGTTGAAATCACTTAAGATTAATCTTTTTTAAGGGATGATCATAATGGCGTCTTCCAAAAAACTTGAAAAAATACATTTTTTTTACATTATTTTTGTTTAAAAAAGTTGGCACATACCTTGTAGCAAGCCGCGGTTTTGTCAAAGTAAGTCCACCCACTCTCGCAAAGCCCAGGACCCGCTAAAAGGCAATATGGATCACTGAAGGGCAAAATCTCATAATGCAGTCAGTCTAGACAGCTATTAAGGTACACTGGTAATTTCATACAACCAAGAAAAGTCAGCGCTTAAATCTTTTATACTCGTCACAAATTCACTTATCCAAGTATACCAAACCTGATATATGCTCCGAAATTAGCCGAAAGTTATTATTAGGTTGGCTAATAAATAAGTTCGGTCGCTTTTTCAGCTTTTACAAATGCTGTAGACAAATTTTTGTCCAACGTTTGGTATCTCTGGAAAGAGCATTTCACTGGGTATTGGAGCATAAATTTCGTTCGAGTAAACTTATCTTCCCAGGAAAAAAATCCGCAAAGAAGTGAAAAATCGCAATTTTCCCATAATGCGCAAATATGAGGAAATCTGGTTTTTTAGTGAAACATTTTCAAAATGGCAGATCACAATTCTTTTTGTTGTTCACTAAATAGAGATAGCTCCTCTGTATCCAAACACCAAACTGCTGTTCTTTACATCCATTACAGCATGAAAACGAAGCTCAAGAAGTTAAAGAATTGAGCTTCTGGAAATTTCGCCATGTTGAGGCATAAATGTCGTTACTGATGATAGAAAATCCTGATTATTTGATATATGCTAGAGGAAGCTTCGAACTACTTCCCTACAAAGAATCATAGATTGAAAATAACAAGAAAATTTTTTGTGACAATTTGTATGCTAAAACGAACTTACTTTTTAGCCAACCTAATATTATCGTTAGGTCAAGCTGTCATTCGTGCTTAGCTAATTTTGTTTTCGGTCTTTCCTCATATCCAAGTGGACTGTCACTAGTTTTCCCATTTATTTTGTCTCCTCTTCATGGTATATAATTCCAATCTGAGCGTCACGGTTCAAAACATTTGCTGACGAAGTGTCTTTAGTAGTGCTCGAGGCAGCAACATTTTTGTATGAAACGTTGAGGTAGTTTTGGCTTCGCACTGTCCTAGGATTGAGCGGGTTGGATTCTTTCCTGGTTGTACAATATTCTAGCGCGGCTTGAGGTTGAGTACCACGAGGATGGCTTTGAGAATACGGGTTAATGACATTTGGAGGTTGATTTGCATTTTAATGCAGAACTGACATCTCAAGCTCAAAGCGTAACTTGAGTCTCAAATCATACATGAAGGAAATGTTCACCTAACCTTCGTTGGAAGCATTGAGATGAGACGAAGCGGAAGATTGGCTCAAATTTCTGTAAAAACATTATTCTCAGGATAATTTTTCAAAATAGAATACAAACTTTGAAATTAGTCCGTTGCTGCTCGGAATTACAAGGCTGTTCGTCAATGGAATCCATACAAACAACAGAAACTTTATCGAGCTCATCCTAAATACCTCTAAATACTTGTTTTCACTATTAGTTATAATTTTCGCTGTTACATACTGTAAAGCATCGAAGTTTGTTTTGTGAGCGAAAAGAGACTTCGATGCGTTACTCATGCGATTCACGTAAGCAAATTGGGAAGACGATAAATCATGATAAAGCATTTTTCTGCAGCAATCTTGCAGACAATTGAGAAACACACAGGACATCATCTTAAACCTTCTATAGTTTCCTTCTTTCAATAAAGTGTGTTACTGAAAAAAATCTGTATGGTACAGAAGAAGTACTGAACAAAAGACATTCTCATTTACCATTTCATGGCAAAAGGATACAGTAAACGAAAGACCATGACAGAGCATTTCTTTTCCACTACCTGAAGATATCAGAAAGATGCGAGAACTTGTGTCGGAGCAAGCAGCCTGTTTGTAACTTTATAGTTTTCCCAATTTTGTTATCTAAGGTGATTATATATACAGCTTATGGATTAGTCGACTTTCACTTTGTTGATAACTTCTTCACCCAAAACGTGGCAAATCTAAATTCTTTCATGAAATAAGCAAAAAGCAAAGTGATAAAGGAGAAATAATCTCTTTGAAAAGCAAAAAACGATGTTCCCAGAAAGGCACTGCTAAGATGGTCATGTTACAACCCGCTGATTGAATCTTTTCACATTTTCAATGGATCTTATTGTGTTAGATTTGGTGCTTTGAGCTCTAGCCACGAATAGCTTTGATATTCAATTGAGCAGCTGAAGCACAGCAAGCACCATATTCAATACAGTGGGAGTCGTTAAGCGAAGCGAACATAATATTCGCAGCGAGCGTCATACAAGCACTCACGGTGGAATTTCGACGAAATATGCGATTTTCACATTTTGGGGAAAATTCATGAAAACGTGTTTCTGTAGGCTCGTAACTCGGCGAATTTTACTAGAGCCTGAATCATGCACCATTCGATAGCGCAATTCCAGTAACTTTGACTCAAAAAGCAAGCAGGCAAGTTTTCTGACAGATACGCGAGAAGTGCGGGCAAAGTTACGCACTTTCGTGATGCAGTTACAGTCACCTCACCGTATCTCTCCAAAAAGACCCTGTAATCCTCAAAGACCACGATTTTGTAAAAAGCGTGTTCGAAAACCTCTATAAGCGAAGTTTCCTTACAATTCAAGTCCATCAACATTTTGACCAAAATCCATCGGCGAGCTTCCAAGAGCGTAAAACGAGAAAAAATGAAATAAACCGAACATATCGGAAAACTTGCTCGTAGAGGTTATCCGACCTGCTGATTTCAAAACTCACATCTGCTTAGCAGGATAGCCTCGTATCCTGGGGCTATGGCGAGTAGAGTTTGGGACGACAAGATATTTCCACAATTCACCAGCCGTTCTATGAAGAGAAATCTGCGGCTACTATTTAGCACATCATAATCTACAGAAAAAGTACTATCGAAAGATCCTTGCTGGAATGTACTTGGGACAATGCTCGCTGCTTCACACCTTCGCGAAATGACGTCCGCAAAAAGATTCAAGAATAACGAAATCGAAATATCAAAGACATGCTGCATACAAAAAAAATTCGCCTTGATGAGCAGAACAAGGCGCTACTTTCGGATTTAAATTATACTTATTCCGAAGGAAGTTATGGTGAGTAGAATTTAAAACGCGTGATTTTCTCAGAATTCACCAACGCTTCTATCTCCTTTGAAAAGAAGTCTGAGCTTATTTTTTAGCGCACAATAATCTACAAGAACAGTGTTATCGAATAGACTTAGCAAAGTCTTCTATGTTGGATAGGCGCTACTTCACATATTCGCGAAAAGGCCTCCGCAGAAGAATTTTAGAAAATGAAAACGGAATATCGAAGACATCGTCCCCACTTCCAATAAATCAGACGATTCGCCGCACCGAGCTGAATCGAATGATGGCTTCGGATTCAGAATTCGTCCACTCTGAAGCGAGATATGGCCACGCGACGGTGATGCCCATACATAGCGACATGTGCATCACTCATGCGACATGTCGCTACATGTCCATAAATGTAACGACATGTATCATCTATTCTATGACCAGGATAAGCGAGACCGCACTGCGGACGTTGTCTTAACAAGTTTGAGTCTGTTCTTTCCTGTTCCCAAAGAGTGAATAAACCTGGGCGAGATAAATGACAATTATAAACCTGCTAAGTGCACGATTGGCCTTATTTAGACAATGTGTGCAATGCGGTCTCGCGTCTCCTAGTCCTAGAATGATATGTACATTCGCGTTTATTTTTCAAAAAATGTGAGCGGTATTGTATCTGAGGTGATTATATTGACAGCTCTTGGATTAGCCGCTGACTTTCGTTTCGTTGATAACTTCTTTACCTTAAACGTGGCAAATCTGAATTCTTTCACGAAATAAGCGAGAAGCAAAGTGATAGAGGAGAAATAATCTCTTCAAGAAGCAAAAAAAAGGATGTTTCCTAGAAAGCTACTGAGATGGTCTGGAGAGTCATTGAGGCAAGAGGTGTGTAGAGCAGAGGTAGGCGTTCAATCTTTGTTCATAGGATCTCTCAAAGTACCTTTGCATCGTTTCTCAAGAAGGAAAGTTAGCAGTAATTTGCCGAAGCAGTACGATAGCAGTACGGAAATGGTGAATTTGGACAGGAATCCTCGCAAAGACTTTTTCCAGTAATGTTTGCAAAATTTGTTTGGAGCCGCAAATTGTTGAAATTTTCTACGAGAATAAATAAACATCAGTTTTTAAGCATGGCAGCAATCTTATTATAGAAAATAAACATTTCATTGCATGACGTTCTTTTAAATTCTCAAACTGCTCTTGAATAGATTGGCAAATAGTGGTTACGTTATGCTACATCTCGAATATTAGGTTGTCTCGAAAGTTTTGTTGGTTTTTGAATGTTTTTTGCAACTAAACATCTTACAAAAAGTAATCTGCAAAAGATTCGTTCGACTCAGATTTATATACTCTTGATGATAATTGCATTACCTCTCTGATCTATGCGGGCTTTGCAATTTTAACGCCTATTTCTTTTCAGCTTAGAGAAGCCAAAATTCCCTTCTGGAAGTTTTATTATGATATTAGGTTAGCCCGAAAGTTTTGTCGCACCTTTTTGGAAAATTCCTTCTGATTTTTCAACCGATGTGTTTGCTCATTCTTGTTTGGAAGAGCTTATCACTTCTTTACACTGGTATCTTATTAGGTGCTTCCTGTTGAGCATACACTGCATAGATAGAAGCGGTAGAAGAAAATTAGTCAAAATTTGAGCTTTCATTTTTCCATTCTTTCTCTATCAAACAAAAACAAAGGCAAACAAATCGATTTAAAACCAGAAGTTATGAATTTTTGAAACTGGTGCGCAGAACTTTCGGACCAATCTGATTCTTGAAAAAGCGCTGGTTATCGTTATGTAGCGAAACCCTTGGCTACACTACCTCACTTTAGATCACATTTATCAAGTTTCGTGACAAGCATGTAATAATTGTTTATTCAGAGAAAACTCTGGTTATTTTGAGCATGTGTAGCGCATAGGAGTAACAGAGCACAAATGATGTTTGATAACAACTGTGTCCTCGACTTCGGACACTTCCTTCGTTTTGTGGGAAGAAAGGAAATAAGTATATTTAATAAGGAAATAAGTGTTTTATCAGAGAAATAATGGAGAAACAATAGAATATGAGAGGTGGATGAGTGAACAGTGAACAACTGAACTGAGGAGGTAAAGAGCGAGCGCCTTCTAGCGCTCACTTCCAGCTCACTCTGAGGTTGCGATCGACTGCGCAAATGTAGATCACTATGAGGAACAACTGATCATTTACACTCACAACAATAACCAATCTTCAATTCGCAAATCTTCAAAAGCTTTCGTATTTTTGCTGCATCCACCTGTCGCACGAGTTCAGCGAAGATCGGGATCTCCAAAAAATTCTTTGGAGCCTCAAGCAGCAAATCAGAAGAATCCACAAGTTATGTAGCGTAGTTCGAGATGAAAACCAGCTAAGCTTTGAGCTGGAAAATTGAAATTTCAATAATTAGTCTTCAAAGAATCTTATATATAAATCTGAATGTCTGTTTGTCTGTATGTCTGTCTGTATGTCTGTCTGTCTGTCTGTCTGTATGTGTGTACGTATGTTCCGAATAGAAAATTCCATTTCTGAACCGATCCGGACCAAACTTGGCACACATACACTTCGGGCCCCGGCGGGTGTCACAGTCCACTTTTCGTCATCGATCGATATTGATTTTATCGATTTTTTGCAAAATTTGTGCTACGGGGCTGGGAGTTGGCATAGGGGATAATCGAGCATGCTGATCACCCCCGTGGGGGTGGTCAGCATGCTCGAATCGATAAAATAGACATCGATCGATAACGAAAAGTGGACTGTAACACCCGCCGGGGCCCGAAGTGTATGTGTGCCAAGTTGGTCCGGATCGGTTAAGAAATGGAATTTTCTATTCGGAACATACGGCGGAGCCGGGTAAGCCAGCTAGTTATGATATAAAACTGAAATTATGATACCATTAAAAAGAGAAAGAGAAACTGTATCGAACACGTTTACGCAATTACTTCCTCATTTTAAGCGGTTTTTACAGATGTTTGAAACGCCGACAAAACTTTCGGAATGAACTAAAAGTATCGAAAAGTTTCGTGATTACCAACTTTTAGGCCGGTCGAAAGTGCCGTTTTTCAGAACCATGCTTAGACCACTTAGAATAAAGAAAGACAAAAACTGCAAGAGCTGTCCGATGCAGAATTTATTCCTCTTTCTAACGGTTATGTCCTTGCTCAGATTCCCTTAATGTCCGCTCCAATTGTGTATTTGTTCAGATTTCTTCAATGTCCGCTCAAATAATCGTCAGAATCTCCAACCTATGATTTTTACCCATCTTGGGTTTGGCTATCTCTGAAATTTCCGAAATTTTCAACTTTCGAACTAACTTTAACAGTTGGATAGAACAAACAAAATGCAATGCAATGAACTTCATCTACATTAACTAGCTTCT